GCGCCCCGCCACCGCCACTTCGCCCGGACTTTAATTGCTTATTGTTGGCTGCAGCCTCCTGCCCTCTGGCATCTGAGCAGGACTCCGTGTGGTCCTCCAAGAGCCCAGACCACTAAAGCCACCTTGTCTTCCTTCCAGTGAATTCTTTCCTGCCCACCCCTCGGAGGAATATTGGAGGAAAACCCGGGCTCCGAGGACCGAGACGTTTCTGAACGGATGGCTTCCTCGGCTCCATCGTCCTCCAACGACGCTCCGGACCCCACCCCAACTAATTTGCGACCCACAAGTAGGTTTTATTCTTTTCCTCGTTTAAAACCTCTTGGCGGCTTTCTCCATCTAGGCTTGGAAAGACAGATTTCGGAATGGAACGATAAATCTGTGAAGCCCTGTTCCGTGCCGCTAAGCAAGGTGCGGAAAGTGCTCCACACAAAGGAACCATTTTCCTAGTGTTAGCAGGAGAGGTTGGTCCGTAGCATAGCAAAAATAAGACATAGGGAGAAAAAGCCCACCTCAGCAGCCAGCACTGGCTTTGTCTTACACCACGTCTGAGGGATTTAGACAATAAACCGGGGCCCCCAGATGGTCAAAAATCGGGATGTTGGGTGTGGAAAAAATGAATCGGTTAAAGGGCGAAGTTACACCAGTGGCTTAAAGTGGGTGTCGTCCCCCCCCCGCCTCTTACATTTTATAAATGCTAATACTACTGCTTCCTTTCAGCTTTTGCCGAAGCCTATAATCAAGTGAAATTTGGATGCTAATTGTAGCTTTTTAAAGCCTTGTATTCCTAATTGCTCTGAATTTGCCTTGAGTTATTGAGGTGTGAGTGGGAAGCAGAGGCTGCTGCAGGTGGATAGAGAATCAGTTTATAGCCCTGGCTAGGCAATTCAGACAGCCGTCTACCAAAAATAAATAAATAAAGAGGCTCGAAGCTATAAAGCATTAGAGACAAAGAGGGGGCAACATTAAGAAATTAAAGGTTGTCAGGCACAGCAAAGTGGGGAATAGCTTTTACCCTGAAAGCGCTGCCAGGGCTATGAGGCATGAACATCGGGGTCATTATTGTGATTATTCTGCAACTGGAAAAAATAGGGGGGAGGGGGGCGACAGGCAGCACCATATCGAAAAACGGCTCTTTTCTCAGATGAGGGTAATAGGCTGGTGCCTTTTGCTGAGACGCTAGACATAAAAATCGAATTGACGAGCAACGCAGTTAAAAATGAAACAACCTTCCCCAGCAGCGCAAGGCGGCCCCTTCCCCTTTGCCGGGGGCGCGGCGGCGGGCGGGTGTCCGTCCAGGTGCGGCTC